AGGTATAGGTATAGGTATAAGTATAGTAGAGTGTAGTACTGTAGTCGTAGCGCCGTCGTGCAGTCTAGTAGTGGATGGTAGGGTAGAATATATATATATATATATATATATGTATAGGCGCTTGTCTTACGTCGTTTGGTGGTGCAGCTGTGGTCGCAGCAACAGCAGCAGCAGCAGTACAGGCGGCATCAGCAGCATTGGCAGTTGTCGAGATCTTTGGAGCTGCTACTTCTCGATCACGGGTCAAGTGCCAGCACGAGTAATCCTGAACACTGTAGTGTATGCACTCCAACCGCCTCGCCTTGGAGAAGCGGTCGGAGCCAACAGAAGCAGGGGGCAGCCCTGAGTGTGTGACAATCTGCCATTTCCGTCTTCTTCTTCTGACATTTATTCTGCTGAAGAAGCGGAGATACATGCAGATACAAAGCATGCGCATATGCCAATCGGTTGGCCTGCTTTCTCATTTACCGGCTTTCTGTATGAGGTGTTCTTCTAGTTTGTCGCTACATGCTTAGTTGAGTGTAGATACGTGTATCTAATTCTTCTGTGTCCAGAATGCAAATGAATTTGTGTGCGTGCTGGCATGTGTGCGTGTGCGTGTGTTTGTGTGTGTGCGTGTGGACAGAGAGAGAGGAGAGAGAGAGAGAGATGAGATATGTATATATATATATATATCTATCTATATATTATTCTTACTAAGAAGGACTACGTGCCGGGGCAGTGTCTCCATCTCTTCTCCGCCTCTGTGCGCATTTTGTATGGGTGGGAATATAGGGAAGCATGCACGTGCATGAACACCATACATCAGGAACGGCGGGTTAATGATCGGTCTACTTCGGGAACCCGCGCATCTTCACGAACAAGTGCATCGGGTTCGGAGGCTGCCAAAATCGGCACGCAAGGAGACTCGGACTGCTGAATCGAACTTTTTCCCTCTCGCATGGCAGAGAACAAAGCTCACAGGCGAGGTTAGCATAGGACCAGGGCAATGACAATGCACCTATATAATTTAGATTACACACCTAATTGGTGGCAAGGAAAGACTCTTTGCTGGCAGACTCATTCCCAGACGTAATAAGTACACAAACAAAGTAAGTACCAAAACCCAGCAAGCAAAGAGCATCCCGACCGCTCACTTCATTGACAAGTGAGCCCTCACATCACTACGACTCGTGAGCAGACAGCCGCGGCAAAATGCCCATCAAAGAGGTGCCCGAATTCCCTTCATTGGAGTTTGGCGCCTA